AATGCTAATAATGAATGGCATAAAATGAAATTGGACTGGCTTTGCAGAAACGATAACAAATGTTTTTGAGTCCTTTGCATTTTGAATAATTAAGTTACATGCAAAATATGACCAACATCAACCCCTGATAAAGAAAAAGAAAGCAATCAACAACACCTGAAAACCGAGAGATATTATAAAATATTGATGTAGCAAAAATATTTTGACATTTGGCAAATGAATGATTCAATTTCTCATTATTTGCTCAAACATGTAAGCCTCAGGTCGGCAAAGCTCATGGCATAGTTTTGTCAACATCATCTGTCAAAGCACACAATTACAAGATATGTTGGTAGCAAGTTGATTGTGAAAATGCAAAATTAGAGTTTATAGATATGGCCTGGTGCTGCAGTGTCCCATTTCTCTTAACATCATGGCAAATTCAGGATAGATATTTAAAAATAGCGATTTTGTGAATTGGAATTACTTTGCAATTTTCACTGCTCTGCTTTACATACTGTAATTATTCTTTAACTGTCCATGCTGTGGGCCATGTTTTAGAAGTCTAAGACACAGAAGTTAGCAGGTTTACCTTGGCTATAAACATAAATTTGACATTTGGAAAAAACAGTTTGGGGAAGGAATTTAAAGGAGAAAAAAAAATGACCCAGTTCGTCAGAGCTTGAACACAGCATAACCTGCCAAGGAGAACTGGATTCAACTACAGTAAGAACTGACGTATATTCACACTACATGCTAATATTTTAGATTTCACTGCTGTCTTTTCACAGTGAAAATAGTCCACGCTCTTGGCCTTGTGTCGAACAACACACCTGGTAGTAGAAAGATCTTGAAGCAGATGATCTGCTACATTGCTCATAGCACTTGCNGATAGATAGATAGATAGATAGATAATAAATAAATAAATAAATAAAAATTAATGGCTCTTAGAAATAATAAAACACCATTTTAAATTTCCCATTAAAGGGCTGGCCAGTTCACTCAATTGGTTAGAATGTGATGCTGATAACATAACACCAAGGTCCAGTGTTCAATCCCTGTACTGGCCAGTTGCCAAAAAAAAGAGAGAAAAAAAAAATTGCCCATTGAAAATGAAACTACTCTAACTGTTCTATTGACTTTGCGTTTCCTGTTAGTTTTTCTCAAAACAAAATGACAAGGTTTTTTGAACTAAGAATTACTAGCTCTGGGCCGAGCCCGTGGCGCACTCGGGAGAGTACGGCGCTGGGGGCGCAGCAGCGCTCCCGCCGCGGGTTCGGATCCTATATAGGGATGACCGGTGTGCTCACAGCTGAGTGTGGTGCGGCCGGTCTCAAAAAGGACAAAAAAAAAAAAAAAAAAAAAAAGAATTACTAGCTCTGTTTACCACTAAGATTATTGTGAGAATTAATTGAGATTATAACATACATACCTGAATATAAGGCAGGGTTTTTTGCTCAGTATTATCCTTCATGATATCTTTATAAAAGTCACTCATAGGTGTTTTCTTAATTGCTTTATTCTGAACAATAAAGAAGTATATGTACACTTGTATACATTTTTAAAGTTTTGTACAAATGTAAGAGGTTTCTTGCTGTTTGTATTCCTTAGATAAACTTTGTTTTCAATAGTTTGTGTTAAAAATTTTATTGCCAAAGAATAATGAAACAGGTCCAAGTTTCCATCTGTGGTTGATAAAAATTTGTAAATTTGGACACTTTATCTTCTTAACATTTGTGATAGGAATTTTGGTTTTTTTATTCTTGAGATAAAGATTTTCAGACAAACAGTGTTAGATGACTCAAAACAGTACTAGTGATGACAAGGACACTGATATTGAAAATGTATGTGAAGGATTTGAAGGAAATTGTTTCATGAAATGTTTTTTTTTTTTTTTTTAAAAGATGACCGGTAAGGGGATCTTAACCCTTGATTTGGTGTTGTCAGCACCACGCTCAGCCAGTGAGCGAACCGGCCATCCCTATATGGGATCCGAACCCGGGGCCTTGGTGTTATCAGCACCGCACTCTCCCGAGTGAGCCACCGGGCCGGCCCCATGAAATGTTAACAAAGGAAGAAAAGGCAATATTTCCATTCAATAAGTTTTTGAAATAAATAATGTCAAATATGCATATGGAATTAAGTCAATTGAATATTTATCAGTAGTCATTTAACTCTTTGACCATGTCATTGACAATCAGAAGTTGACATAAGTTGGCTAAAAAGTTGTTGTAAATTTTCTCATTGGGAAAATAAAAGATTGATCTATACTTGGATATATGTATACGTGTATATATATATATTTGCTTTGAAAATCGTTCAAAATGGTTACAAATATGACATTTTAAAAGTTTATTCAAAGCAGAAAGCTTCAGAAGTCCTTAGAAAATAAAAGGTAAAATAAAAACAGTCACAGTAACCTTTCTTTTACCCTACTGTGCTCAGCTTAAAAATACTCACAAGCCCTTATTTTATGGTCTTTGATAATTGCTGAGAGAAGTCTTAATTTCTCATGTTGTGCAGTACAGTACTCTTATTGAAAATTTTGGTTTTTATGCATTATCTGGCTAATTACAATTAGGGAATTTTGAAGGTTTGGTTTTGGGTTCTAGGTAAACTGAAGGAACTTAATGGAACTGCACCTGAAGAGAAGAAGTTAACTGAGGATGATTTGATACTTCTTGAAAAGATTCTGTCTCTAATATGTAATAGTTCTTCAGAAAAACCCACAGCCCAGCAATTTCAGATTTTGTGGAAAGCTATTAACTGGCCTGAAGGTAAATAAACACTCTTCAAAATGTAACTAGAAAGCAGGAATTGTGTTTTTTTATTTCTATCAATATTACTGGTGTTTCTAGATCAAATAAAAATTAACTTGGATAGTCCCAATTCACACTGTGAGGAACTTCACAAAAAGGATTCGCTACACCACTATAATTCATAATACTGTTTTGGTCATGTGCCTTATGAGAATCTGAAGGTAATATAGTGATCCCCGTACATGCACCAATTTGTATAATGTTTCAGAGCATTTGTGTAACCCCAGCAAGCCACTGAAGCAACACTATGACCTGTTAATCCTAAACTATAAAGAGTTGCTATAAGTATTTTCTTTTCAGTTATGTTACTTAAGTCTTTTTTAATTCCAAAAGTGTCCTCTCCCCCATTATTTTTTCATGCCATTGATTTACTGGAGAAAACATTTCTATCAATATTACTGGTGTTTCTAGATCAAATAAAAATTAACTTGGATAGTCCCAATTCACACTGTGAGGAACTTCACAAAAAGGATTTGCTACACAACTATAATTCATAATACTGTTTTGGTCATGTGCCTTATGAGAATCTGAAGGTAATATAGTGATCCCCGTACATGCACCAATTTGTATAATGTTTCAGAGCATTTGTGTAACCCCAGCAAGCCACTGAAGCAACACTATGACCTGTTAATCCTAAACTATAAAGAGTTGCTATAAGTATTTTCTTTTCAGTTATGTTACTTAAGTCTTTTTTAATTCCAAAAGTGTCCTCTCCCCCATTATTTTTTCATGCCATTGATTTACTGGAGAAAAAGTCCATTTTTCCTACAACATTTCCCATATTGTGGATTTGGCTGATTGCTTAATGTATTCCTCTATCTCTGTTTCCTGCTAGAGGTATAATTAGCTTCTTGTTCAATTGTTTTGGTTTTTTTTTAGGTGAAGATCCTTTTCTAAATGATTCTGCATTGTACCTTTATATTATAGAGCACAAAATGTCAGATTTCCTCCCTTGCAGTGATGCTAATATTGTTTAGAGTATTCGTTCAGATGGTGTCTATCCAAGCCCTCTATTATAAAACTCCCACCAACCTATAAGCATCCTATCAGTATCTGTTAATGGAATTCTTTTCTAAAGAACTTTCTCTGTTCACTCTTTGGTCTTGTTTTGGGATTTTTAAAAGCAAGATCTCCACCCCATTCTTTCAATTTATTATTGAATACTCACCGTGTATCAGACTTTTTGATAACCTGAGAGAGTTATCAAAAAGCATATATGATCTTATAGCAATAAGTACAGTCTATATAAATATGAAGCATTGAATACTCACTGTGTATCAGACTTTTTGATAACCTGAGAGTTATCAAAAAGCATATATGATCTTATAGCAATAAGTACAGTCTATATAAATATGAAGAATCAATTAACACAAGTTTTAGAAAAATATGCATTTTGTAAAGCAGGCACATGCTTTTTGGCATTTTCTAAAATGGTGTTAGTTTTGTAGTGAGAAAATAAAATCCTTAAAAATTGAGTAAAAGTTATAAGGGATTTTCTAGATTTTCATAAACATTAATAAATTTTTCTTTTTAATAGATATTGTCTTTCCTGCACTTGACATTCTTCGGTTGTCAATTAAACATCACAATGTGAATGAGAACTTCTGCAATGAAAAGGAAGGAGCTCAGTTCAGCAGTCATCTTATCAATCTTTTGAACCCTAAAGGAAAGCCAGCAAACCAGCTGCTTGCTCTCAGGACTTTTTGCAATTGTTTTGTTGGCCAGGCAGGACAAAAGCTCATGATGTCCCAGAGGGAATCACTGATGTCCCATGCAATAGAACTGAAATCAGTGAGCAATAAGAACATTCACATTGCTCTGGCTACATTGACCCTGAACTATTCTGTTTGTTTTCATAAAGACCATAACATTGAAGGGAAAGCTCAATGCTTGTCGGTAATTAGCACAATCTTGGAAGTTGTGCAAGACCTAGAAGCCACTTTTAGACTTCTGGTGGCTCTTGGGACACTTATCAGTGATGATTCAAATGCTGTACAGTTAGCCAAGTCTTTAGGTGTTGATTCTCAAATAAAAAAGTATGCCTCAGTATCAGAACCAGCTAAAGTGAGTGAATGCTGTAGACTTATCCTAAATTTGCTGTAGCAATGGGGAATGGGGGCTGAGATTTTAAATTGATTAGTGGTTTTTTTCTCACATTTTACATGACTGATTACAAATGATAAAGAGAATATTGTGGATTAAGTCAAATTTCAGATATTGTAAAGTGGTGGGGAAGGGAAACAAAGGAGAAATAAAATTTTTACACTGATGAACTCTGAAATTTTCCTGTGTAATGTGGGTAGGTTTTCATGTGTATAGAAACAAATTAAGAAAAATTATAACCAACAACAACGCAACTACAGTGTGGCATTTCTCCCTTACCTTAGCCACTCAGAAGACAAGGGCATTTACTTGTATAACTTGCTTTTACTACTTATGTACACCAAACTGTTAAATGTTGGCAATTATCTTTTACTTCTCCACTTACTTTCATTGCTGGATTCTTTCAGTAGCACTGATATATATCAAGGTCTTATTTTAGGATAAGTACTTCAAAATTTTTAAAGATTAAGTTTGTTATAAATTATTCATATATTGAAAAGATATAAAATATTTTTATGATGTAAGTTGTTTGTAAATAGAAAGTATGTTTGATGGCTCATTTTTAGATATAACGGAAATTGGTAAGCTATGTTAGGTCACTTATCAATTCAGACAAGTAAGGCCTCAAATTGAATACAGGCTTAGATCCAGTTTCTTTTGCCATTTACTATTTCAGGTAACTTCATTATTCATTTGTTTTGGTATTTGATTGTTTATTTTTAGTTATTTTCATTATTGCAAAAGGAATTTGGAATATGCTGAATTTTATCAAGCAGTTGTACAAGCAAGAGTACATCAAACTATGTTATTTGAAAGTCAGGAGTCTGTCATGTGAAATTAGTACTGGCAGTTGTACAAAATCAGCAAGAGTACATCAAACTATGTTATTTGAAAGTCAGGAGTCTGTCATGTGAAATTAGTACTTTCGAACCCCTAATATGGTCTAGGCAGTGTATGGGACACTTTGATATTTATGAGAGGTGGTATTATCTCTGTTTTTGGAAGTAAAGATAATGGATGAATCATGATAGGAGAAAAAAAGTGAAGCCAAAAGTGAGTTAACTACTCAGAGTATGGAGGTTACAGATTCGTCTCTGAACGCCCTAGCAGCTATAACACAAATAAAGAACTGTCCCATTAATTACACAATTTATTGTGTCTAAGGTAACTCAGTTTCTTAAGAGAAGTGTAACTGTTCCTATTTTTTAAAAGTGGCAGAGATCTTTTCACAAAGGAATTAGCCTAAAATAGTGAGCAACATTCTCAGCATTTATGGTATAAAGAACCATGAGTTTCCTGGCTTAATGCCAAATTGCTGTCTAAAAAGAACAATTGTTCCCCAATAGGGGAAGAAAAGGTTCTGATTGTCTACATTAATTCAAGGAAAAAGTTTCAGAATATTAAAAGAGAATGGGTAAAATGTAAATGTAGGTGATGTGTACTTTGCTAGTATTAAATTGCAAACTTCCTGGTGTGTACCTGGACTTGAGATATTCTGTTTGCTGGTTCAGTTAGGTACCTGAGTTTTACTTTTTGTTGAATTGGGATTTAGGTGGTTACATCAAAGTTAAATGGCAAAACTAAGAGTTTAACAGGGGTCAACCTGGTTCCATTACAGTATAAGTCTTTATTGTTAATATGTCCAGTCTAGCATGCAATTCTAAGTATAAGCAGTTTATCCTCAATATTTTGAAAAACTAGGTAGTTTTGAATAATGGTAGGACATAATCTTGATTAAAAATGCGTTCACTCTTTAAAATGTAAGGGATGGAAAATTTAAACAGTTTGCTTCCTATTACTGTACAAGTCTTTTGATAACAGCTTTTATTATACCATTTCATGCTTTTTGAAGAAAAATTACAAAATACAAAGAAAAATATAATCCCACTTGAAGGATGTTTGTTAAATAGTGGTTTAATACTTTGAAAGATTTTCTTTTTTAGTTAAGCATTTCTACGATTTTTTTGGTATAGTTTGATTTTTAAAAATTATTTTATTATAGTGGTAAAATACGCATAACAAATTTTACCATTTTAACCATTTTTAAGTGTACAGTTCAGTGGCATTAAGTACATTTAAATTGTTATGCTACCATCACCATCATTGTTGTTATTAATATTATCATTTTATTAATAAGTGGTCAGTATCAAAGAGCCATCCCACTATATTCTAGAATAATCATCCTGTTCTTTAATATGCCAATAAAAGGGAATTCTACAATCTCATTTCTTAATTCTCAAATTCATGAAGTTCTTTCACATTCATGAAGTTCTTCCTTAATGACAAAATACAATCTCATTTCTTAATTCTCAAATTCATGAAGTTCTTTCACATTCATGAAGTTCTTCCTTTTATCAAACCTAAATTGCTCTTATTACAAATTACATCCATAGTTGTGGTCATTTGAAATTAGAAGTGGCTGGTTGCTTTTTCTGTACAGTGAAATTAAGGATGAAATTGTTAGGGAGCAATTTAAATGTGATAAATGACATCTTGGATCATGAAGACAGAAGATCTTTTCAAAGTTTATCATCTTATCCTTCTAGTCAATACCTAAGTAACTTCAGGAAGACTAATAATTATTTTCTTGACTAATACTCCAAAGTATCAGTAACCTAATCAGATCTTTGTTTCTAGGCCATTATGGTAAACTTATTATTTTAAATTAATTATATTATCTTGTATTTAATTATCAGCAATTTAGTATATTTACTTGACCATTCATTGATTACGACTCAATAGTCTCTTCCTTATGCAAAATAATTGTATATATCTAATTAATTATAATATGATTTACAAATTTTTGGAATAAATTAATAAAGGAATGACAGTGATGGCATTTTTCTGTTTTTGAATGTTGTATTTACTGAACTTTTAAATGACTAGTATATATTAATACTAAATTTAATTTATTTAACAAATACATATATTGCAGTCACCATGTACCAGACATAATTATGTACTTTAATAATATTAATTCATTTAATTCTAATAACAATCCTTTAAGGTAAATTCTATTATTACCACAGTTTTAGAGTTGAGAACTGTGTCAAAGTAACACTGCTTATAAGTGGTAGAGTTGGGACTTGAACCCAAGTAATCCTAGTTCCAGAATCAGTTCTTTTAATCACTGTATTATGCTGCAAGAAGGAGGGAGAGGGAGATTACTGAAAGATGGCTATGGAGACATGGTTTTTGAATATCTTTGAAACACAAAAAACAGCTAGGTAGTATGTCCAAAAACCCCTAAGTAATATTTACAGCACATCGAGTGACAAAGTAACCCCTACAAATGTCAAAATACAAATGATCAAGGACCAACCACCAACAACCACAAGACCCACATGACAACAGTCCCTGTGCAAGAGAAAGCAGACAAAGAAACAAGGTGTCTGTCACAGCAGTTCAGTTTGAAAACAGTGGCTGAACTGAGTGCTATTGCCAGATCCAATTTGAGGCGAATAAGACCATCTGATAAGACTGGAGCAGTTTGGCCCCAGGGAAATCTCAAAACTGACCAGTTTAGTTTCCCAAGTGGAAGAGAAACTGCCTGGAGTGGAGAAAGAATTGAGCAGAACAAGTACAATAGAAACAAAGAAAGAGAAATTTTAGAGAAAACTGGGGAAGGAAAAGAAAGCAAGCTGCTGTAGTTTTGCCTTTACACAAAAACAAGAAAAGAAAATGAGGGAGGTCTGGAAAATCTCCCAGAACTAGATCTCCTCCTAAAAACTCAGAAGAAAATAATTTCACATCAAAATAGGAAACATAAAAATATTGAAGTCAATTTCCATACAACATATGAAAGCATACCAAAAAGATGTTGTACTAATGATGATGTACTATACCATGCTAGTTCAAAATGAGCTAAATACAATAAAAATGACCTAAGACACGAAAAAAAAATTAAAGAACAACACAAAAGAAAAACAGAAGTATATTAATAGAGCTAGGAAAATGTCAGAAATAAAAGAAACTCAACTTTTCAGAAATAAACAGTAAACTAGAAAAACATAAAAATAAACACAATAGATAACACCATAAAAAAATAAATAGAAGGTTAAAAGTGGGAAAGTGGGTATCTTTTTGAAAAACTGGAAGTAAATGAAAGAATAGGTTAAAAAAAAAGTAACAAATATTCAAGATAATAGGCAAAAGAAGTCCTTGAAAGAAATTCCAATAGACATTAATAACCACCCAAAAGATGGAGGAGGGGTAAGAGAAAAAGAAAAAATAATAATAAAAATTTCAATTCAGGAAACATAACAAAGAAGAGTTAAAATTACATACCAATAAGGCATATCACATACATAAGAATATGCTCCCAAAATGACAAATGCCAAGAAATGTTGGGCTTCGAAGAAAAAAAAAAGAAAAATTTTTGACATTAGGCACAAAAAATAAATTGACCTAAAAGGGAAAAAAAAAATTTATCATCACTCTTTTTGACCATAGCATTTTAAGCCCAGAGAAAATGGAATGACATATTTATGATATGCAAGGGGAAAAATGAAGGTTTTAAATTCAGCAAAACTGATTTGAACTATAAAAGTCCAAACTATTATCAACATGAGGAACTTAAAAAATATTTTTCCCCTGAGCCCTGCCTGAGGAATTTACTACAGGATGAGCTTTTGACAACTAAAATGACTGGAAAGCATCACTATAAGAATTTGTGGTGAGCATTAAACCTATGGATGTTTGTAGATCTAAGACTAAATGAAGGTTAAATGGAGAGAGTATTGTTTCACTGTGTGCTCTGACATTTTTAAATGATGATCGGATAAATGAGGAGGGACTTTATGAAAATAAATCTGAATTTCCTCATTAATTGCATTGAAGGTGGTAGTATTAATATTGTTATTTCAAAATTATAGGGTATCTGGCACTGTATAAAACAAATGAGTAATTATGAGTTATTCTAACTCTATCATCATTTGAGATATTGAGAATAAAGATTTTTAGAGTGGAAGAAAGAAATACAGGTATAATACAGAAGTGGTTAAGTTTTTTAAGAAGACCATAAACCTGCATTTGAATTGAATTATCCATATGAACTCATGCTATTAAAATGCTCATTTCTACTGTATTTTACTGACTGCATAGATATAGAAAGCAATCCAGATGAAATGAGCATTTCTAACTCCCAGATTATAGTTTTAAATTATTATTTATCACCAA